TATCTTTGCACCACGAACAATAAGTGGAATTGGTACATTAGATCAATAAAATCATGAAGAAAATTTTTATTTTAAAGATTACTTGAACTATTGAGAAATTGATTTAAGTTGTCGATTTCCAATAATCTTGAAAATTCAATTACCAATAATAGAAGAAAACATATGACAAAGAGTGTGAGAGGTTATATACAGAAAATTAAAGAACTACGTGCAAATTGAAATGTCAATGAGGTTTTTTATATGAGAAAAATTGGTATATTTAAAAAAAAAATTGAAAAATTCAAAATCTGCTTTTGATTTTGATTTTGAATGTGTAGCATGCTGCCTTCCTTATTTCGTTTTTTCCTCGTGCTTTTGAATTATTCAGAAACATTAGTCAAAATTAATTTAGAAGGGAATCGCCTGAGAGTTGGAAACCACTGTATGAAAACGAAATTGAACAAAAAAAACCTTAATAAAGAAAACTACTTACTCAGAGAGTCAGAAATCAGAATCGGTTCGGACTTCGACCTGCTCAGAAATTGAACTAGTCGACGGTCGACCTCGAAGGACGAACGGACGGCTCGAACCTCGCGGTTAGGGTTCTGTGAAAGAGAAACCTTCGAAGTTCGAAGGGAGGAAAAGAAAAGGAAAGAAGGAAAAGAAAGGGAAGGAATGTGGAGAGACGACATCGGAAATGGGAGATGTCGTCGGCGCGGCTGCTGGGGACCTGGCGTAGGTATTGTAAACAAGGAAGGAGATACGTGAGCCATTCGTTTTACCCTTTTTTTTTTTAATATATGTATAGGGCCAAAAAATTAAGGCCCACCGATTTTGGGCCAAATAAAAAAAAAACTGGGGGCCAAAAAATGAGGCCCCTCCAGTTTTGGGCCTGAGGCGCAGGCCTCATCCGCCTCGCCTCAGGACCGGGCCTGTTTACATCCATTATGATCCGACTATAAGAACGAATACAAGGCACTTATATCTCTCGTATTTACTATTGTTTGATGTTATTGTCATGTAATCTCAGAAATCAAAAACTTCCTACCAGATACCAATACTGATTTGGAACTTTTGCTTGAAATTTTGTGGACAGTGAAAAATTGACATGAATTTCGATGCATGGTTCTTAATAATCTGATATCCTCTCACAATTTGAATGTCAGATACTACTATAGCAATAGTTTGGGTTACTATTATGACACTTCTTCGGGGCTATATATCGGATTCTAAGGTCAGTTTGTCTAAGATTCAAGCTCTTATAAAATTGATTGATGATGAGATAAAATGTAACTATCATTTTTCCCATCTCTGTAGATATGTAATTTTTATTTTTAGAACTAACATTTCACCATAAATAAATCAGTAGCTGACTAGTGGATAATAATAATAATAATTAATAATGTAATTAGTATGGTAAAAAAACATCAAACTGTATCTGGTTAATATATAATGTTTATTTCTTATAATCCTTGGTAAAGAGAAGACAAGAAGGAAGCCTACATCAAAGGAAAAAATGTTATTAGTAGCATTGTATAAAAAAAAAAAATTGTGCCAGGGTGTGCCAGAGACACCTCCATCCAGGATGGAGACACCGCCGTGTCTCTATCCTGGATGGAGGCACCAGGCACCATGCCTGGTGCCTCCATCCACTTGGACGGAGTCATGAGATGCCTCCATCCATGCCTCCATCCAAGTGGATGGAAGCACCATGCCTCCATTATGGATGCATGGTGCCTGTGAATGGACGGCGATGTCTCCATCCTGGATGGAGGTGTCCCCGCGCGCACGCACGCGATTTTTTTTTTTTTTTTTTATTACTAATAACATTTTTTCCTTTTGCTTTTCCTTATTTTTGAAAATTTTCTTAAGTTTCTATTCGTACATGAAGCCACTAAAATCCCATTCATGGTAGTTCAAAAGTTTCATCATGATGTTATTAATTGAGCAACAATTTATTGATGTAGCTATTTTTTTTCTTTTTATAAAATCAAAGAAGCTTATGCATACTTTATATATAACTTTGTTTCATATGAAATGTGTGGTTAAAAGTGAGTTTTAGAAAATGAGGCCAAACAGAAAGATTGATTTCATTGACAATTATACCTTGTGCATTTCAAGAAATATTTTCATCCTGGTTATTTGCTTTTATTGTGACTGACTTCGAAATCAATTTCATCCCTCATTTTGTTACCTATTTCTTAATGTTGCATGTTGCACACACATTAATTTTGATTGATTTCTTTCACAATAAGAGAATAATGTTGATTCAGGTTATTAGTCAGAGACATGCTTTTTACATGTAGTTATATTTTGAAATTCTGATCGATATTTGCTTGAAATTTTATGTTTTAACAAACTGTTATTGTTATCTTTACTTATTGGTATTTGATTGTGTGTTTTGAATCATTTTGGTCGTGAATTGTGAGAATTTGACGAAAATTTTCTGGTTTCTGTTTTTGTTGTGTACAATTTGGTGGATGTTGTTCTTGTTCTTCATCTGCTTGCCTTTCTGTGTTGTTAGATTAAATCTTGAGGCTTATAGATGTTTATTAGATAAGCTTGTTTATTTTCCCCCTTATTTCTGTGCATAATTTACTGATGAATTTTGGCCTGCGGTGAATTGCCAAGAGAACATAGTACAAAATTCATTCGCATAGAAAACTTGTCATAGTGCAAAAATAATATTTCTCAAAAACATTTTTTTTTTCTTTTTGTGAACTTCGACTTGCTTCACACTATGTCAAATTTTGTTTTCTAGAATGCCTTAAGTTATGTTTATTTATATCATATATCTTAAAGAAATAAATCCATGCACGTTATATAATTTTTTTCATTTGTTCATGCTTTGCACCTCGTTCGTGATAATTTTGCATGTAAATGAAAATGTTGTGTTTGCAGAATTGCAGATTTCATAACTAGAAATTTATGTAGCAAGAGCATCAAACTTCGTTTAAATTTGTATCTTGTTTAAATATCTTAGTTGAAAAAATTGTTATTGTAATATATAAAAAAAAAAAATTAATGTCTGTCTCCGTGCTACACCGAGCACGGAGACAAACACCGTGTCTCCGTGTGCGCACATGGAGACACCGTGTGCACATGGAGATATCGTGTGCGCACACGATGTCTCCGTTTTTTTTTTAAACACCAACTCTATCCCTAAGAATATTATTTTAGTGCTCGCGCACTCATAACGTAAAACTCATTTATTCTTTATATTTTCAATATATTTCCTTTTCTTTTTCTCTCTTTATTCAAACCCCTTTAAATCTTTCGTTTCATTTTTTGTTTTTTTAGTCCATTTATTAGTCTTCTGATAAGAAGGATTTATATCTTAGATTGAGCATGAGTGGAGGGAAGCATGATTTACCTCCATAATGCAACAATTGTGGGCTATATGAAAATAATTTTTTTAGAGTTTTTCGTGGTATATTCATTTTTCTTAAATATTAACTTTCTCCGTTCACGTCTCTCTTTTTGTCACTTCGTTTTGTTAGGAGCTATTTCATTTCCTACTAACGTTCCACACTTGAAGGCTGCTGGTGGTTACCTTAAATGAAGCATACGAGACTCTGGTTCCAATGTCAAATATTTGAATATGGTTCACATGATGGCTTTTTGGTCCTTATTCATTTAGTAGGTTATTATTCAGTGTCACCAATAGAGTTCGTCTTATTTACAGGTGTAGATTTTGTTGATACACACTTTGATTTCATTTTTCCCCTTTATATGCTTATGTTTACTGAAGTTTGTACCTTTTCATTATGTGGAAGCATGTATATATCTCAGTTAGCAGTGCAACGGGTCTTACCATTTTTGGTATGTTAAATCAACTTTTGAACTTTTTCATTGAAGAAGAAGCTAGAATGAAAATCCGTCTGGTATCTACACAGCATTACTTTGCATTTGGAGCACTTGTGGGAGAGGAATTGTCTTACAAGTTGAAAGGTAACATTTCTTTTCCAGAATGGTCGTTAGGAGTTCCTGAGATTTAATTTAACTATTTACAACTTCTGGTGCAGAATTGCCCAGAGTTAGATGGGTGCTTCCTGATTACTACTTGGATGTCAAGAAGAAGGATTATGGAGGTATGAACATTCATACTGTTTTCGCATGTATTTAGTCCTTAGTGTTTTCTTCTTTGTATTACTTGTGAAAAAAAATTTTGCTTTCTCAATCACAATACATGTAGGACGCATATTATTACTTCTATTTTGGATTGAAAATTTCCTTTATATATAACATATCATAAAACCATCCATTTTTACCAAGAATTCAGTCCTTTGACTGCTTTCTTTTCGAAAGGAAAAGAGGATTTTGGTGTAAGCCTTTTCATTCAACTTGCACAAGATGTTGAATCTATTAATTTTTGTTTGGGTATTGTTCTAGGTTCAACAGTACATACCTCATGACTTTTTATCGCAATTCTTTTCTGGTTTTCCTCTATGACGTTGAAAAAAAAGAAAAAAATAGAGTTTTCGAGTTTAATGCATATACAGTGAAAATTATGCAAATACGGTGAGCTTCTTGAAAATTCGGTTGCAATTCTACCTCATAATTGACAACTCTTTTTGGCTTTGAATCAACCACATACAAAGAAGAACCCTCACTTACATCATCAGTCTTTGAAACCTCCCTTTTGCATTTCCAAATTTGATTTTAGTCGTTGAAAGAAGTAGCTGCTGTTCAATTTCTTCAACATACAGGATTTTCAATGAGCATACC